CACAAGAAATGAGTCACATCAATCAACTCATCTAACTCACCTCACCAAACTTTCCTTCATTTTCTATTATCTTTAAAAATTACTCACATCATCCAATAATATGATGACAACTCATCACATCTCATTAAAATTTTCTTTCATCCCTTTCCACCAAAAAAACAAGAAAATTAATTTTTCTAAGTATGAGTCACATCATCCAATAATATAATGACAGCTCATTTTCTATCATTTATTTTCTTAGTTTTAAGAATGAACCAAACACAAGAAAGAACAAAAACTAAAGAAAGTGAAGGAAAACATCAAAAATTATTCATCTCATCCAATAATATGGTGACAATTCATTTTCTCCCTCACTTTCTTTTCGCATTTTGACGAACCAAACATCAAAAAGTGGAGAAAAACATCAAAATTCATTTTCTTTCCCCCACTTTCTGCATTTTTTTGCGAAACAAACAGGCCCTTACTGTAAAGTTTGGAGTTCGTAGACCGATGATGAGGTGGATGGAAATCCAGGTATGCCAGGTTGTCTTGATATAAATTGATGTCTGAAAAAATCGAAATTTATTGACAAAAAAAAGGCAGAATCCCTTATGATATTCTATGTGAAAAGTAATTTTTCTAGGGCATACCATATGTCGTTCATGTTAGGTTATGTCGAGCCTAATTTTAGACCCGGCCCAATTCGCTTAAGTGATCGAATCGTCAGAACCCCAACTGCGCGGATTGAACTAATACCCTAACTATAAAAAAAGGCAGAAAATTTTCCCCTAAGGGTATACATGTAATTTTAAGCCGCATTAATACCCTAGCTATAAAAGGGTGATTAGGGCGCAGTTTGTAAACTATTCAGAACATAGTGGAATTTTACATGCGACGGCCGTGGACGTAACTTCTCTCATCGAGAAGTGAACCACGTAAATTCTATGTATTCTCTCATCGAGAAATGAACCACGTAAATTCTGTGTGTTCTGTGATTTATTTTTCCTCTCTTCCTTCTCTCATTTCTATTTCCAAACCGCAACAGGGATTAGAAAAACCCTAACAGTTCAACGATGAAACTAACTGTGGAATCTGAGCTTAAGAGTTTTCTGCTAATAATTATGGAGCAAAATAAAATCTGAATTTATAATTTCCTCAAGCACTAGTGACCAGAACTAACGAGAGTTTGGACTCAAACTGGATTTTTTACATTCTGAATGATAACTAAAAAATTTTAGTCCACACTACTACACAGGCAGCCTGCCCCAACTTTTGGGCTAAGCATGAGTACGCCAATAGTTTGGGCACGGGACTCAACCGTTGGGGTGGCTTCCATTAGGTTATTGTTATCCCAACGGTGAGCCCAACATTCTGAATATGAATTGCAGCAATTTGAGTGTAGCTAGATTTTGCCATGAACATCATAAACAACGTACCAAATAAGAACATGAATATTGATTTGCAAGCTTGTGAGTCATGCATCCAATGTGAAAAGGGTGTCTTTGTGAACCTCCGAAGTTCGAACCAGCACACTAAGATAAGTATTAACGTAAACAACACTGTCAACGCTTCTCAAACCTTCTCATTTATAGCGAACGTCATGACATAAAACTTTCTTTGGAAGCTTCACATTTGGAATATCACGCATATTCCAAATAAAGCACTTATAACTATCATATAAATTCAAATTTCGTTTCATATGGAAACTTTGAAATCAATGCACTAAGTCAAAAACACTTTCGCATTTATAACAAACATCATGACATAAAGCTTTCTTTTAGACTTTCTTTCCAAATAAAACCCTTTCAACTATCTATAAAAGCACACTGATTATCAAGATAAACACATTCAATCAAGTCACTAACATGACAATTTACCGCTCATCAAAATTCAGAAATGGTGTCAACCATCACTATTCCTCTATCTTCTTTTCTCCACCAATGCAAATATGTAAAACTTAGTTTTGTTTGTGTCCCTTAACATCCATACCTATGTTTGGCTCTCTCCCCTCTCTCCGTGGCTAGCAAGAGTTTGCATTCTTTGCAAACAATAGATCGAGATGGAGGAGGAGCTGAAGAAGGCATCAAGTTGTTGGAGTTGTTGATCAAATACCAACAATATCAACAAGCTGCTCAACGTTCCCCATCAGACTGCACTATGCTCAGAAGTAAGTTCTTATACTTCAATCTCGTCAATAAATTAATACATTGATACACCAACCATATAATTAACCTCTATTAATTTCCCATATTTTTAGGAGGAATTTTGGATGATCTTACATGATATAGTTCATCGGGAGCACAGCTGGCTCATTCCACAAGGAGAATTTTTGAATTTTCTGATGCCATACTTAATAAAGAGGTTTATGCTCAATTAAATTTCAGATTTCAGATACAAGCAAGTTGAGGTTCAGCTCCTAGTTTCATATTTCAGATACAAGACTACTCCTTTCAGAAGCCTTTAATGCATAAATTTCACCCAAAAAAAACTCTTCTTTTTTTTTAATCCTTTTAATGATACACTAAAACTCCTATCAATCTTTTTTGCTTAATGTTTGGGAGATTTATCATTGTTAAGTTTTGGCATGAATGTTTTTTACCTATGCTTGAAATAAATGCTGAAGACTCAGTTTCAACACTACATGCTATTTGATTATTGTATTTGGTATTTAATTTTAGGATATGTTTGATTATTATATTTGGCATCATGTTAAAAGCACCGAGTAACAGTGCATATTTTGTTGAGGGATCGGGTAGAAGGGAGGAATGTGTGGGGATATTCTCGCTTAAAGAAATAGGAGTTTTTCAATATTAGTCCAAATCTTCCATATTTTGATATTAGTCCCTTAAATTTTCCCTCAAATCTTTAAGCATTTTGAAATTAGTCTCCGAAAGCGTCATATTTTGAAATTATTCTCCCAATTAAATCTTATAAGTGTTTTGAAATTAGTCCCTTAAGATTTTTCAACCTGGTGCTAATTGGAGGGACTAGCCAATTACAAAACACTTATGCGATTTGGAGGACTAATTTCAAACTATGGAGATTTCGGGGGATTAATCAAAATACTTGAATATTTGGGCGACTAATTTCAAAATATGAAGACTTGAATGACTAACATCAAAATATGAAATATTTCGGGGATTAATATCGAAAAACCCGAAGAAATATAAATTCTGGAAAAGGTCTATCTGACACTTTCACTTTGTGAACGGATCCATTCAACTATACAGTAAGTTGGAATATTACGAGTTCCTATTTTATATGATTACTTGATCCACCTGACATATCCTCCAGGATTACTAATGAAGGATTTCTCTTCTTCACTATTACCAATTTTGTTTAGTTTACTGCCTCTTGATTCTATTGCAGGTTATGCAAGCAGGGGCTGCTCCTTGTGCACACTATGCGCAGTTGGTCAACGGATATGAGCATTCACATGACAACTGTGGTAATCCTTACAGCCATGTCGATGGTCGCATAAACGGTGGACTTGTTGGAGTTGGTGGTCCAATGCCGAAATATTTCTCGTACTCTCAGTATCAACAACATATCCAACAATATCAGCAACCTACACCACATTCCTCATTAGTTACAGCCAGTAACCCGCTACAAGCAAGTCGAGGACCAACTTGATTTTTGAAATGACAGACACAATTTTGTTCGAGCGAAGGCGAGAAGAAAGAGATCAAATTATTTATTCTGTCAACAGTGGAATGCTTCCTTTCCTTTACTGGAGTTCTCCATTGAACTTCCCTATAGGCTAGAAAGAAATGAGTGAACAAAAGAAGAGATGCTTTTGTCTTTGCTCCTTAAGATCTTTGTATCTCTCTAACCCTTTCCTTTTGTTCCCCCCCTTTTTTTTTCTATCATCGTGTATGTGCATTTTGAGTTAAAGTTGACCGTTGAAATGATTGGTCTGTAGATATATTTTCCTTATTGTAAGTAGATTTTCACTAAACAATTTCAATGAAAGACATATAGGTAATAAATATGACTTCGATAAGTTTATACTTGTGCAAAACTGTAGATTACACTTTTTTAGTTCCTTGGAAGGGTACGTTGAAATCATCATACGAGAACTTATTTGACCTGTAAAAATTTTAGGAAACTTGAAAGCTTGAACTACTAGTAGTTTGCTAATGTGACCTGTGACCACAAACTTCAATGCAAATATTGAGATGAAGGTAACTTCGAGAAGGATACATATACTATATAATTAAGTCAACGGCGCAATTGGCTAAATTGCACTTAAATATATACTTCACTTAATTTGCACTCATGTATCCTCCCTTGGTTTTTAGCAGCATATATATTATCCTAAGTTATTTAAAATTGGCACATTAGTATTTTCTATTATGCAAATGTGAAAATTTTCCCTTGAATATTTCTCTCTGAAACTCAATTGTGATTTTAGAACTCTTGAAGTATTAACATTGGTTGAACTTACTGTTAATTAAACCTATGTCAATTCAATTTCCTAGCATAAATGAGACATGTTATACAAATAGAATTGTATTATGTTTAACAGCAAATTCCACAAACATTAATGATTAAAAACTTTTAAAATAAGCATATGAATGTCATATGGGAACATTCAGGTGAAATTTTATGGTTGCGCTACAGAAGGTACTAACATGCCAACTTTAAACAACATAGAATGTATATGTATTGCGGAAAACAAGTGAGGGTAAGTGAATAATGCTGTATGGTTAAGTACTCTTTAGCTTACCAATTTACTAGTTATCTTCATTATTTAGTATTTTCTTCCTCCTGAGATATACTATTTTTCTTGCTTTTTCCCCGTATCGAAAAGAGATTCAAGCGGGCACAACATCACCTTTCTCTTGGTTATGTATAAGGGTAATATTAAGATAGATAGGATGAGAATGTTTCTCTAATTATGACCAGCAACCTCGTTCTCAAAATTAACACAACCAACAAGCCATTTCAATTACCAGCAAGAACCAACCAATAAATTCATATATTGCATCTGAAATTTGATCACACAAAAGAAATTTAGGTTTTCGAAAACAAGACTGAAGGTGAAAGCAACAGATGCTAAAAGTCAGTAGTAGTTGTTACCTGTTGTTCAACACGGGGGATCTCTGAACTGGTGCTGGATACTGATGGACATGCGTGGGCATGGGGAGCAGAAAGCCAACTTACTTGCATCCCTTAATTAGCTGACACTAATAAGGAAATTTGAACAGCTTTCTGATATCGACAAATATTGTGCATTGGGCCTCCAATGTAAGGATCGGCAACAGTTGTATGAATTTTCATACTCATAAAACTTGTGAATAATATATACAAGGATCACCCTCCGCTTGCATACCCTGGAAAAAATCGAAGAGTATTAAACTAAACAAGATTGGTCATAGTAGAAATCCTTCATTAATCATGTAAAACAGGAACTCTTCATGTTCCAACTTACTGTATAGTTAAATCGTTAATCATTTCATCCAACAAAAGCATCGTGAATGCAAAGAACAACCTCTTGGTTCAATAATTTAGCAACAGAAACACATTACAGATATACACTCCAAGTCATCATTCACAGTTTACCCTTGGGTCGAGAAGTTCCATGCCTAAACAATGATAAATCTAAACAAAAGGTTGAAGGGCATTTAGGCTATCATCAAAATTAAAAAGAAATCAGGGCATTTTCAAGTAAGGTTAGGTACATCCAAGCTTCTAAAATGAGCTCCCAGATCCAATCCTTTAGCAGCAAAATGTCATCGTCATCTTTGATCCAAATCTAGAGCTTGAGCTGCTACTGCCACAGAATAAAGGGATATCAAACTCGATAGCCCATTGGAAAAATCTGTAGCCATCATCACTGATCTCACAATCAGAACTACTTTCACTGTCACTCAAAATCATCATGAGGGCTATTGAGCCACTTGAGCGCAAGACAATGGATCTTGTATCTGGAGGCTGATCTCCAGCTAGCGTTTACAGACTGCCCCAAAGCGAACACGATCCTTGAGGCTCCAGTGCTATTGAAAGAGACCAGGTATCAGCCCAAGGCCTCCATTAAGCCTGTCAAGTGAAAATAAACGAGTTCAAGAAACATGATGGGGAGATGGGAAACTGAATACATAATTACAAGATAAAGAGCTTTAGCCAGCTTTACGTTGCTACTATTTGCAGGGATACCCACTTTCTATAGCAGTCAATAGTCTGTTGAGCCGGTATAGGAAAATAACATAAAATTGTTAAATATGCATCAATCCAAGCAAACATAAAAGCAATAAAAAACATGAAGTCAAAGCCTAGGTAAAAAGTCCTGGATATTAATTGAAAAAGGGCAATCAATTGCAAGAATTCAAAATCTCATTTGAAAAAGACGATCGGACGTGATGCAGCCGTAGATAAATAAGCTGAAACTCGATATCCCTGGGGCAATGGAGGGAACTGGTAGCAGTAGACACCAAATCAAATTTGATTCTGATTCATCTAGAGACATGGTGTACACTAGAATCAAATTTGATTCTGATTCATCTAGAGGCATGGTGTACACTAGAATAACAATGGCTCAAGCAAAAAGCTTGTTCTATCATGTGGAACTCATGCAAATCTAGTTTGGCTTTGAAGATCTCTGAATGTAATACGTCAACTTAAATGTTATCCCCGCGCGCGCACACACATGCTTGAGCAAGTGGCCAACAGAGGAAATGAATCTTGTATGTCTCAGGTCGGGCATAAATTTTATAGGCTAAGCTTTGACTAAAGGTGAGAAATTGTACCCTCTTACGCTAAAAAACCAATACTACACATACTTCATACTTCCTATTGGTTATTTCAACACTTTTCCAGTAAATACACAGGAGAAAGAACCATACATGTTATGCAAGACATATGACAAAGGTCCACGCCCAGTGGGGCATCACATAAACTTGTGAAACATTTCTTCGAAGTACATTTTAAGCTTCTTAGACCCTATTTTGATAAAGAGTTTTTTTTGGGATAAAATGATATAAGAGTACTACAAACAATTTCTCTTAAGTTAATGTATCATACTGATGAGATATCTAAACACTGGTTCCATAATGTGAAAAGAACCAAAAGCAAAGTAAACAATATGTCATGTGAAATCCCAAGCTACAACTACCCAGATCCCAAGTTTTAAAATGATCTCATGGTTAGATGTTACTAAATCAATCTGATAATAAGATATCTATTCAAAGGAAATTTTACTTATAAAGTTATTACAATACATTAAAAAGGAAAATCAGTACTTTAATCTACGTATCCACATATATCAGATTACACCGAACACAAATATCTGACAAGAAGATAAGACTAATATTCTATGAACTATGAAGACGTACAATACAAATTCAAGAAATTGAATGATTAAATCAATCAGGTTGTCTAATCTGGAAATTGGACTACAGTTTGAATTTTCAAGTGAAAACATGCTAATGTTTGCAAGAGAGTATAAAAAAGTAAGAGAAAACATGGTAAACTTAGATTTTAGACTGGGATGAGCAATACCTCCGTTCTTTTGGTTCCATTGCTTACACCTTCTAGCCACTAGGGAAGAACTATGTAATGAAAATTTAACCAAAGAAAGCATGCAGTATTGAGATGGG